GTTGTACAACATTCTTTAAGTTCATGTATTTAATTAAATACAAAATTTTCTCAATCCATCGGCTATATTTATCGATAATTGTTTTTCTAGGCGTTTGTACAATAATTATTTTATTTGAATCGCGAGATCCAGGACATGATTCGCCGCTAAACGCTTATTGCTTTAGGATATTATGTATAAATGTTTTGAGCAGTGTTGGCCTAGTGGTTCGATCCCCGGCTGTGCACCAATATACTTTCTTTCCATGTGCGCATTTAACATTTGCTCGAACGGTAAAGGAAAACATCGTGAGGAAACCGACATGTCTTAGACCCAAAAAGTCGACGGCGTGTGTCAGGCACTAGAGGCTGATCACCTACTTGCCTGTTAGATTTAAATATGATCATGAAACACATTCAGAAATCTGAGGCCAAGGCCTAAAGAGGTTGTAGCGCCACTGATTTTTTATTTTTTATAAATGTTAAGAATACCAGTTTTTATTGGATAGGGAGGCAAATGAGCCTACGAGACGCCTTTGAGGGAGGAACTCTTTCCTTAAGCAATTGGAGGTCATATCTCCCAGGGAAGAGACCCCGATGGTTGTCGATACCACAGCTCGCTAATTCGTAAAAGAAAACGTCATGTGAAGCGTACCAGTATAAAATGATCGACTGTTTCAATATTCACTTACCCATAGCCTATGTAAGTAAATGCTTAAGAAATGCGAGTTCGTATTGAAGCTTTCTGTTCAAGTAGGGTATTATAAAATCCAGCAGTTTCATTAAAGTCGTCCCGAATGGTTTATGAAACATTAACCATTGGCCTACATAGCGTTTTCATCTTGAACGAGTAGCAAAACAATGGCTAAATCAGGCTAAATGATCCCGGTCTGGACTGACCTTAATACACCATTGTGGGTCGTACCATGTTGTTTGTTTACTTGTGATTGGGATTACAAGGATGATATGTTCTTTTATTATCTGTGATGAGACGCCATTTGTTTTTAATTGACAGAATAACCTGAGAAATTGTAATGTCTTTATTTATATCTTTATAAGATCGTCTGAGCTATAAAACAAAATAATTATTGAATTATACTCTACAGTGATAGAAATAAAAATCATCAATAATTTTGTGGTTTCTTTAGAAAATTCGTTCCAAAAGTTATGACAATTATTCCACTGTAGTAGTTCACTTTCGGAATTATCATTTAGGTTAATTTCGAGACGAAATATTACCCAATGGCCCATTATATTGGCAACTTTTGCGGGGGCCGAGCGCCGTGAACAATAGCAGAATTATCCCAACTTCATAATGGGCTGACCCAGCAGCATTGTTAAAAATTATTATTATTAAATAATCGTTGTATCTTTAAAAGACTGAAAATTTAAATATTGTTTTAGTTTAAACCTTATAAGAAAAGTTTTAATTATAAAGCCTCGATACGTTCAAGTTGATTGTATTATGTTTTTATTATAATTACCACAAAAATTCTTATGTTTTTATGTTATATATACAACGTATGTTATGTACGTAAACGAGATTTTAGTAAGTTAACAAGGTGTAGGATTCCGGATTAGATAATTATTAAGAAGCAAAGTATTATTTCAAATATTGCACTTTAAATCAGTCAATTTATTTTATATAATTGTTTTGTAATACAAACATTTTGTTAACATAGTACATGTTAACATTACTTTCTCTTCTGGGGCATTTCATAACACCTGAATCTCCAAGATCAGTTCATTAAAAAGAAAAAAAAAGCGTCGAATCTCTTGAAATCTTGGCTTTTATCCGTTTAAAAATAATATTACGTGCGTCATTATAACATTTAATTTTTTTTTTTTTTTGGTGTTTTAAGTTTTTTAAATCATTTTTACTGTTCATGGTATCTTCGATAATTCTATAGGTTTTTCCTTCTAACTGACTTATAAACATTCCTGTATAAAGTATGACAGTTGAAATAGAAAAAAAGACAGCACTCTCCTAAGTAGTCTTAGCGTTTCCGCTAAAAGTCTAGTATGAAATAAAATGCGGAAATATTTTGCAATATTAAAAGTCTCGCTGTAGAGCAATTGAAAAGGACTGGATTTAATTTAAGGACTTCTGAGAGGTCTTCAATTGGTTTTAAGATTTCAAGGGATTCCTAAGTAATTGCCACTTCTGTTGCTTGAATTTAATTCGCACTAAGCTTTTGGAGTTAGAAATAACATTTCTTACTTATATTTGTTGTTTATTTATGACAGTATTCATATTATACATATTATTATGTGGTATCTCCAAAATATCTCTTCCAGGCTCTACAGAAACGGTGGAGGCTATTCATCCAGTACTTAGTAACTGGGCAAATAGAAAATCCCGGTCCCGGTAGAATGCGAGAGCGACCCCGGAGCCTCTGTAACGCGGCTTTGTAGGAACTACTCGTGGTGGTTTTAGTGGGTATAGCGCACCCAGTTTCTGAATAGCGGAGATTTTGGTGTGGGTTAAGTCCCACTTACCCCTGCAACTTTTGGGGCAAGGCATTTCCACCTCAGATATAAAAATGATAAAAGTCTCTACAGAGAAGATAATTTTTTTTTTGAGTAAAGATATCACGTCCCTAGTACTAGTTCTTGTCATTCTTTTTACCAATCTTTATTTCATGAGATTTTGAATTTTTTTATATAAAATAAAATCTCACCTGATGTTAAGTGATACCGCCGCCCATGGACACTCTTAATGCCAGAGGGCTCGCGAGTGCGTTGCCGGCCTTATATTAATTGGTTCTTGAAGGACCAATAATAATAGAATAATATTATTACTTTTTATATCACTTGTCTCTTTGGTGCATTATGTATTTAATAGCTTAAACCAAATGATTAATTCGGACATTTTTTGTTCTTTCCCTTTGTTGCGGTTGAAATGATAGTAAAAACAATTGCAGACAATTAGTTCCGTAATAACAGATTTTGGTCATATTGCGACCAATGCGGTTGCGCTAACTTCGAAAATTGTTTTTGGGGCATTAAACTGCAGTTTAGTTTCGTTTATATCTATTATACTGGAAACCACAATATGGCATTGCACTTCTTTATTATGGGTTATTTTGACGCATATGAACGTACAGTATAATTAAAAATATATCAATAAATCATTATTTTTAAAAATGCCACCAAGAGACTACAGCTATTATTGTAGAAACGTCAACGGACATTTATGTTTATTCGAGATAATGGCGGTGCGATATTAATATTAATAATGATTTTAAGTTCTTGACGTGTTAGTCTTATTTGAGGTCGTAGGTTCGAAGCCCAGCTGTACCAATGCACTTTATGTGTATTAATCATTGATATTAAACTTAAAAATTAAAATTACGTTCGTCTCATTATCTTGAAACAAAAATTTTTGAATAGGTATTTCACTTCTACCGTTTATTTTTATGTTTATCCTTGTATATTTTTATCTACTTCATAAAACTTTCTATTTTGTCTACACATTAAGTAAAGTAAATTACATAAACCATTCGTACATTACATTAAATTATACCATATTGAATGAATGAAATATGTAGGTAAACGATTTCATATAAAATAGAGAGGAATTTAGTTATATTGGGATCCCAAAAAGGTTTTTATAGATACGAACCTTATTTGGAACATATTCGCAAGTTAGTAATACTTAAGGAAAATCTTCACGTACACCCTTCCTGATCAATTTGCGCTCTATTCAGTTGTATCGATTCTATTTGTGCTAACGTTGAGGTAATTCGATTTTGATAAAGTTGTAAGGGTCACATTGCGACTGTATTTGTGTACTTTATTTAAAATATATCAGTCAGATAAAGTCTTAACAGTCTGCCTGAGTATCGTAATTAAATAAAATCTAGTTGTACATTTATAAATACGGACGGATTATAAAAAGTTTTAAATCTCGAGTAAAATGTAATGACTTTTCAACTGTATTTAAAATTTCAAGAAGAAACATTTACATTATTTTGAACAAGTCCTATAAAATGTATAAATGTCCCTCTACCGCCCTTAGCCCTTAATAACGACACATAAAGTTTGATATTTATTTTAGGTGTCCTAAAGCTTGAGCTTGAGGGTCTAAACCGGCTCTTAACATTTATGTTTCTTATTTTGATACCTTTTTAAACTAGACGAACGAGTATTCAGATTATCGTTTAAAGTAAAATGTTTTATGTAAATTTAATATTTGAATGGAAATTGTTTGTGTCTTATTCCTCAATAATGTGATTTAGACATCTTCTTTATATATCTATTTAAGCGTTCATTAGTAACTGTCAGCCGTAACAATACATATAATATATATATATACTTTTTAATGAATTCATCAGTTAAGCCATAAAATATAGTTCGTAGGAACATATCGCTCCTTACAAGGGCCTAACTTAAATTATTGGTAAAGTGAGATTTTAAATGCTAAGGGCGCACAATGAAATTCTGTAGCGCTGAGAGAGAAATAAAAAGGAAAATAACAACTCGGTAAACTCAAACGCGAACAACCCGATCGTACTGCTACAAGTAACTAATTAGTAAAGTGTATATATTTTAATAACTTAGACTGGTAAAACGTTGCGCAATTCGTGTTTGTAACCTTCTGTGATAAAAAAAACAGATGAGTTACAATCGTTTAGAATTCTAAAGAACAATTCGTGTTTGATTCGATAGATTATATCAAATGTATTTAACTTGTAGGTCTTATATGTAATACCTATATTGCTAACAACTGCAGTTGTTACAAGGAATTGTTACTGACTGATTCTGTATCTTACATAATTTTTGCCATGTTTTTGTACGTTTTTTTTTAATTAGAGAATTTATTAAAATTGAAATGAAATGCTTTCTATGGTGACATTATCAAAGAGCGAATATGTAATATTTCATAATCGAGTCTTATACAAAAAATAAGCTGGAGTGGAACAAATCAAAATATTTAAATTCTTCTTTTTCGTTTCACGCCTTTGTATTACTACACTATTTACACGGATTCAATGAACTCGCAACTGGAAAAGTTGCCATATGTCAGTAAGACAAATAGCACAAGAGTTAGCGCAGGTCCCGCCGGCCAGCAGGCTCCGACTCGCCTTTTTAGGAAAGAGGAGATTTGAGACTACTCTGCTACCTAGCTTCTCGGCCATAGATCTGCCTGATCGCTTGCCGGATAGGTTACTATGTCCACTACATACATACATACATATCCTATTAAAAAAAATTGATGGCATGTGACAGACACATAAGAGTGATCACCGTACTTGAATTTATGTCACTAACACATTCTATTATTTTCCAGTCATATCACGAGAACAGCGAGTTGGCTGCCACCATTGGAGAGCTGGTCCATCGGAGATAGCCGTGGCGATGAAGATGAGCTTCCGTACGGATGGGAGCAGGCTTTGGACAGTAGAGGGAAGCCGTATTATATAAAGTAATGACTTTGATTAGTTGGAGTAAACATTATTAACATTATTTTAATGTCAAATTCTTATATGGATTAGGACGTACACGCGTTGCCAAATATTTTAAAAGTCGTAACAATAAGAAACCATATTTATTTGTACATGTTATATGTATTTTGTACACAATAGCAATCCCGCTTGAACATGTAAAAATTATATTAAAAAATTGTCCGAAGATGTCCGCCTGGTAGCTAAGTTTTATACGTAAATTGTATGTAATATTGTTAATTGCAGTCATATCAATAAAACCACAACCTATGTTGCGCCCGAGAGCAGATCCAATGAAACACCACCTGCTCCACGTGATGTGGTACTGGAGAGGGATCCTGATCTTGGTTTCGGGTTCGTGGCAGGGTCTGAACGTCCTGTGCTCGTCAGATTCGTTACTGACCACTCCCCTAGTGTTGGAAAGGTAAGCTAGAATGAATATGGTTTATCCGAGAGGTATGCGATCACGCTAAGCTTCTTGATGTTAACTAAATGAGAAATGGATATATAGGGCGTCCTTGCACCGCTTCTTTTCTATGGTTTATTTTAGATCAATATAATTTTTTATAATAATTAGTAGGTCATCATGTATTTTATGCCTATTATAGTCAAGACGAGTTGAAGGTTTCACTTCCTTTATACAAATCATACCTACTTCACCCCTGATAATCGGCTGGCGATTCCCTTGCTATCAATTACTGTATGTACTGTATTTATAAAGTCTTTGAAAATAAAAATGTAAGCGAAGTTGAAAATGGCGAAAGTTTATAGAAAAACGGAAGTTCTCTACCGTAGTCACTCAAGTAGTAAGGTGCTCCATAAGTGTTCGATTTTGTTAATAAATAAGTTGCGTACTATTATTGGAAACATTTCTTCCCTAAGATTAGGTCAAATCATAGCAGCAGCAGTCCATATCGTGCCGCCGTGAAGCTTTTTTATTTATATTTTACAATTACGTCTAACCAGTCGTTGCGACTATGCCTGCAGGTTGATTGTCATACATTTTTAAGGTTTAAATGATATAGCTATAACTACATGTTAACTATCACAATAGGTAACGTAAATCTTCCGAACTTTACATTTTCAGTTGGAACCCGGAGACCAAATCCTGTGCGTCAACGGCGAAGACGTCAGTTTGGCTGCCCGAGAGCATGTCATATCCGCCGTACGCGCCTGCACAGACAAAGTCACTTTACGGGTGTGCCAACCAGCTAGGAGTGGAAACCCAGCACGGAGATCAGCTTTTCTTTCAGCAGCTAAACGAGCCAGACTAAGGGCCCGCCCACCGAGAGTCCGTTTTGCGGATTCAGTACAACTAAATGGAGCGCCGATGTATCCTGTAAGTAACTTAAAAAAAATCCATCTGGACAAACACAAAAGATTGTAGGAACCTACCAATTGTCATGTCAATGTCACATTTTGCAAGCAAGCAATAGTAAAGGCCTCGACACGGGCTACACTTTTAATGAAATATGTGGCTACATCAATGCCGACTATATCCCGAAAATACAAAAAAAAATTAAAGCAGCACATGGCAGCAAGAAGTATATCTCGGCAATATTTCTGAAACCGTATAATATGGCTCATTATTTTGTCTTTACACGGTTGGATAGATGGCTTGGATAGTAGGTAGGGGAAGGTCGGGACCCTTCGTACGGTTTTCACATTTTATTTTTTTCTTTTTTCTTTTTCCATGAATCAATCACCTGATAGCTTAAATTTATAGTCTAACTATCTGAGATTCATATAAAAAAATGACAAATGATTTCATCTGATGGTTCAACCATAATTATGATTTAAACTAAATCTGGCAAACGTACGAATCTGCCCCATCAACGGGGCACCTTCGTACAGTGTTGGGGGTACCTTCGTACGCTGTGGGGTAGTTCCGTACTTGCGATTAAAACGACACATATAAATCAAAATTCATTTATTAGCAATGAAATTAAACAAAAATAAAGATTTAATTTCTATTAAACAAAAATAAATAGTTTTCTTATAGTGAACAAAAATTACATAGCTTTTCTTATGTAAAACAAAATTTAATTAGGTATCTTAAATTTAGAATCACATTTCTTAATCTGGTGCGGATTAGCACTTCTTATTTTCGGGTGTGGCAGTATAAATTCGTGGTTTTCCTGGCCGTCGTCGTCATTTTGTTTGTTTTATTATTTCTTACAACATGCGGATAGGGTCAAAATGCCTCTGGTGTCAAAACTAACTTCGAAGGAACTACTATTTGATGGATCGGTAAATTATTCAAAGCATCTGGTTCACAAGCATCAAAATCATCAACCTTAATAAAGATAATAAGAAATAGGTATTAATATATATTTACATCGACGATAGCAAAAATAGCAACACAGGACAAAGTTAACGCAAAAATGAGCAATTAGCACACTAACACAATCGTACCTACCAGTAGTGTATGAAGAAAGTCAACAACTTAATTTGTATGAAAATGGCAGTTCGTGTCGACAAATTTTCATACAAATTTAGTTGTACAATTCGTTCAAATGTGTCCCATCTAGTGCTGTCCGAAAGTACCCCACTAACTGAATAACAACAAAATATAACTTATTTTAATATTAATAGGAAAATACCATAAATTAAGTATTGGAGACGTATCTTAAGTTTAGTTGCTAGTTACTGATAGAATACTCTACACGAAAGCTTATTTGATCTACGGTAACAAGAGACAAAAACATTGATCAAAAAATTACTTACCGAGCGCGAAAACACGTCCATGCCTGTAACTTCACTCTTATCGGTGCGAATTTCGCGAAACTTCGTTGATGTATAGTTGGTACCTCGACTCATGCACACATACAAAAACAAGACTGTAGTTTGTTTGGTTCAAGTTTTATTTTGACTGTATGAATGTGCCCCGCGTACGAAGGGTAACGATCTTCCCTACCTATTTCTTCAATGGCAGACGAACTTGCAGCAACTTATATTGTTTAAAAAAAATCGTGCCAAACTTCACGTTACAGCAGCTTATATTGTTTTAAAAAAATCGTGCCAAACTTCACGTAGCATGAAAAAGGGACGCACTTAGGCCGTAAATCGAGACAGCAATAATATGGCTAAGAAATATTGAAATATTTTCGATTGCAAAGCGATCGTTCCGTCCATATCATGTAATCCGACATATAAAACATATTTGGCAATATATCCCGGCCATACTAAAGTATTGCATAGTTTAGCCGTAAACGCTGGCTGATGCTACCAGCCACACCGTTGCAGCTATACATTTTCGTGAAAAAATGGCCCGTCTAGGAGCCCCTTAAGATTTATCGATGAAATTTACGGGCACCGGTATACACTGTATCAACTATGAATATAAGATACAAACTTAAATTAACGTCTTCATCTAAACTTTTGTCGACTCCATTCGAGTTAACAGTGATGTTGTGATGAAAATATTTACGTATTTACGATATAGTTAAGTGATCTCATATTATATTGTTTATGGATTCTGTATATATTTTTATGAATTTATTGCGTTGTATCCAAATTTACTTATAAAAATATCAATCATTGGACGTTGAAGTAGAATACGAAATTCCACCTCGATGTCCGTCGTTCCACAACTGAGCGTTTGATAAAGCAGTTTTTGCCGCGAACCACCACTATGTGGAACCAGCTGCCCACTGCAGTATTTCTGAACCAATTCGATTAGGGTCCTTCAAGAAAAGAGCGTAAAAAAGAAAAAAAAAGAGCCCTCTGACATTGAGAACTCACTCACTGGCACTGGACACTCTCAATGGCAGCGGTATCACTTAACATCAGATGAGCATCCTGCCCCCCTGTTCTATTTTTTTTTTATTAAAATTAAAAATTTAAAAATGATTTATTCATATAGGTAACAAAATGTACACTTATGAACGTCCAAAAATAAATATATATGAAATGCTTTTAATTTTACATTTACTGCCAGTTCTCAAATCGGAGGGCGTAGAACGGGAGAGAAGAACTGGCTATAAACTCTCCGCCACTCTTTTTAATCGTAAAATAACACTACCCTACTACCTATACTTTTAAGGGGAAAAATATGTTCTATTTGTTCCTTATTTTACTATTTAGTACTTGACACTGAACTGTCGAGGACTACCACCAATTCACAAATAAAACGAATATCTTTTGTAACAAAATTCCGATATTAATTAGCCAAGTGTATTTTTCAGCCATCTGCATTCTCCCTAGGCGACCTATGTTTGCCACCGATGGCGAATGTCCTAAAGGTGTTCTTGGAGAATGGTCAAACTAAATCCTTTAAGTACGACGCTACCACTTCAGTAGCTGACGTGGTAACTAGCTTGAAGGATAAGCTCTGCATCACTGCCGAAGAACATTTTAGCCTCGTTGTGGAACACGTGAAGAGTCTAAGGCGGAACAAGCTGACGTTGTTGGATCCAAATGAATCGTTGGCAAGGGTAAATTTTAAAATTGACTTATGATATGTAATTTTGTTAAGAACTGCGCCATCTCGTATAAAGTTTATAAAACTTTGTATTTAGAAGAAAAAATCCACCAAACGTTTATTTAAAATATTCGATAGATTTCTTAATCATGGAAGCACGTTATTATAATAAAATACTATGCAAGCCGTTATACGAGACGCTATACGTATTACTTTGACAAGCATACAACCAAATATTTAAATAATTCCAATATCGCTGCCCGATCTGAAAGTAATGTCCTGTAAAAGTGTGTTTAATAACTCCAAGATGTAAATTATTTTAAATTGAAATATTAACAAATAACTGAGTTTTAATTATTAGACTGATTCACATAAAGCGGAACATTCTCTGTCTCCGTCTGTTTGACTTGGACATACAATGCTTCTGCCTTAAGTTATATAATAACTTTGTACTATACTTTGTTATCCATAAATTTAAATATAAAACTTGTTTAAAAATTTACACTTACACGTTTAAGAATAGCAGTTCTCTAAAATACTATTACTTTCAATAATTAAATTATTAATAATAATATTACTTTTAACAATTTCAGATTGCAGCTCGGCCCGGCTCCCACAAGATGCGTTGCCTCTACCGTATCGTCTTTATGCCAACTTCAGCAGCGGAATTAGCCCAAAAAGATCTTGCAGCACTTGACTATCTATACATGCAGAGCTGCAACGACGTAGCTCAGGACAGATTTGCACCAGAATTACAGCCTGAAGTTGCGTTGCGGTTGGCGGCTTTACATATACATCAACATGCGCTGGCGCATAACCTCTCACCGGCTAAGCTGACTGTTAAGAGTGTGGAGTACGTATATTTTTTTATTTATTTCAGACTCTGCATAAATAGTTTAATAATTCTATAGTTGAATTCTATATTTGATTTTGGTTCTATTTATGATTTGGAATATGGGGATATAATATATAGCAATGTTAAGAATACAATGTATTTATCCATTCACAAAGATATTTAAAATACAACAAGATTTAAATTTATTTTCAATACCAAAAAAACACTTACTATAAAATGTATATCATTAATTTAGACTTTTCTTCTAAGACTTTCTTTCATTGAAATAATACATTTTAGTAAGCGACATTACTATTTTTAAGTAAAGCGCCATGTAGACATCCACATGTTAAACTCTTTGTTTTTGTAATATGGTAAAATATATTATTTCTATTGATGAAATATGACATACACACATAAAGCAAATTATTAGACAATCCTAATTTTCCAGACGGGAATTTGGTTTGGAGCGCTTCGTGGCGTGCAGCCTCTTGGAGAGTATGAAAAGGAAGGAGTTGCGACGACTTCTTGCTCACTTTCTTAAGCTGAACTCACAGATGACTGGTGGTCAGAGACAACTTACTCAGTTACAGGTACCTTTCTATGGCTACGAACTTTATTAACTTACGTGCAAATCCTAAAAATCTAACCAAAGAAACAACACCTGAAATATGCTCCAAATTAATTAAAATATAATCCAATATTTTTGAAATTATTTTATTCTAAAAAAGCCTATGAATTTTAACAAATTCTCAATCTTTCGCCACTTATCTCTTGTAGTTCTATTAAAGAGCCATCAAATAGTCTACTTAAAATATATGTATTTATTATTTTAATAAATCACTACATCATGTGGCCGCCTAATTCTTAAAATTATTGTTTTTTATGACATGACCAGTTAAAATTGGACATATAAGGCCGGGCTAAACATTCAAGATATTCTATTGTTACATAATTCACTATGATAGTTTATCCATGTGCAAATAATGTTTATATTGATAAATGTTTTGTTTGATTCCAGGCGAAATTGCATTACCTGGACATAGTGGGTGGGCTTCCAAGTTACGGCGCCAAATGCTTTAGCAGCAGTCGACCTGAACGAGTGCTCTTGGTCTCACCGAGATTTGGGCTCAGTCAAATTGTCGGGAGAGGAAACTCTGTGGTAAATATTCGTTTAATAATTTCACAGTAATAATGGATGGCGTCACGTGTTTTAATGAAAAACCTATGAACACTTAACTGTACATGGTTATATTTATATTTAAGCTAACGATTAAAAAAAATAAAGATTTCTATTGATGGGGCCAATTAAAATTTCAGCCACAATCAATAGCGTCTCTGCCAGAAGTGGAGAGCATCCGGGTGAAAAGCGAATACTCTGGAAGTGCCGAAGTGGGCATCTTCTTGCAAAGGGACCGTGTCTTGGCGCTTCTCATGGATGAGAGGGATGCCGAGGAGATGCCGCTGGTTATAGCTGGGTAAGTGTTGTGTACGCTTTATTAACAAGGGTAGGTCATAATTTGGTTGTTACTGCTGCTTTATGTATCACATTTACTTTATCCATTTCTCATTTCCCTTGTATTGTTAGTTGCAACAATTTTTTAAAATTATATTAAATATGTTTTGTTCTTTAAAAGTTATAAAAGCTAATAAAATGTGATTTCGATGTGTTAATGATTATAATTATAGTAAGCAAATGATTTTTTTTTTGTCGAAACCTCAAATCGGTAACTGTCCAAATGTGGTTGCCGACATATTTTCAAAAACCTTAGGTTTTTTATTCAAAAATAAAAATCACCATAGGTACTTAGTAATAAATATCTAAAACATTACAGGTACTACAAACTTGCGACTGGTAAAGAACTACATGTGGAACTGGAAAGAGAAATAATTAATGAAGATATAGGTAAGTGCTTTTATTCACACAACAAAATAATTTTTAAACTCCAATTTACGAGGTGTTTTTTCTTTTTCAGCTCCTCCATATTTATCGCAGCACAATGTTGTCCCCACAAAATGGAATTATCTCAATTATGACGATCCTCTCATTCTCACAAAGAAGCACTTCGCTATATTCACAATGCCTCCGCCATACCATTCCACACCAGAGCAATCGAAATCACTCGATACAAACATGAATTCAAACATCACGAACAGAAACAGTAGCAATAACTCCAGCCCCCTGATGGGTAATAAACCTAACGATTTACATTTCGAAAAGTGTAAATCGAGCGACAGTTTTAGATTATTCGATCCGAACGATACTTGCTTCCTAGACGACGGAATGGGATTCGATCTCCAAAGCGTATTGTCTATGGAACTGTTGGAAAACGCCAACAACCCTCGACTCGTCGAAGCCAAAAACGAAGAAGTGCTCCGACGAGTAGCAGAAATGCAGAAACTAGTTGAAAACTCAGAACAGTATTTGACTGAAAACTGTGATGTTTATAATGAAAACGGTACGTTAAGAGATGAATTAGTAGGTAGGGAAACGAGCGTAGATCAAATCGAAAGCGATACCGAGTCGTGTAATAGTAGAATGTCCGCTGCCGATGATGCTCCTGGTATTCTGAAACATAGTGATTCCTTATTGTTACTCACTGAAACGATTAATCAGGGCTTAAGCGTCCTGAGTGTACCTGATAGTAAAGACGCTGCTGACGATTTAACTAGAAGACAGTCACAAGGTCTCAGCGCCATATTAAATAATTGTGGTTTAACTGATGCTTTATTAGCTCTGAATAATGATATGATTTATTCAGAAAGCGATAATGACTCATCGTATACCCCCACAAGCAGTCCCGTACGGAAGCATCTCAATAAACCGACCAATAAGGCAGTACGAACTAGTTTTGGTTTGATGAGTCCCGATGTAAGCAGCGCCCAAGACAATAAAGAACCGAATTTAAAGGAATATTTAAAACAACTTAGAGAAAAAAGTAGTAGAGAAGACAATGCTTCTCAACTTCCATTTTTCTACCAAGAGTCAGTTGACAACGATGCCGAGCTTATAGATTTAACGTTGATACCTCCACCCCAAACTCCCGACGAATTAGACTGTGCTTCGCAAGTGCCTCAAATATTGCCGGTAGTTCCGGCGTCGTTTGCTGACGATAAGGATTGTGTAGACGGTGGTACTTCAAAAACAAATGAGTTAGAGGAATTTATTGCAACGGTCACAGTGCAGCCACCGACTGTTAAAATAACACCAGCGATAGAACTAACTCCTGAAGAAATTATGTCGTATATCATTCCACCGCCGCCGACGAATGCTTCGGAGCGTGCCAGCTATGTTAATCAGACTGAACTTAAAGAACAGAAGAATGAACACAAAGCTCCGAAAGATGTCAAACCGTCAAATGGCGATGTAACAAAGGGAGCTTTGAGCGTTAGTGAGATTAGAAGTATGTTTTCAGTAAAAACATTGAGCGACGCTAGAAATAGTTTATTGTTAAAGGAGAAGAGCAAGCAGTCGAAGTCAGATTCACCGAAGGGGAAAAGGAAAAGTATATCGGGAGATAAGCAAACCAATGGGAACGCACATATTATTGAATATCCCACAGTCGAAAGGAAAGGTATGTTTTCATGTTGCAGTAAAGATAAAAATAGAAACGAAGATAGCGACGAAACTGAACAAATTGATGGCCAAATCCCTAATTCTGATTCCATGCCTGATGTTTGTGAAGTGAGACCACCTCCCAGAAGAAAAAGCACCGAAATCAAAAAGGCTCCCGAAAGACCACCGAAAACCCCTCCGACGCCTGCTCCCCGACCTAGATCTAATTCCTTGACGTGTGTTAACAACGAGTTAACAGCGGTAGAGATACCGAACAACCACTTTAATACTTTGAATAATAGAAAGTTTAACTATAAAGTGGTCTGCGATATGAACGCGCCCCAACAAAGTCCGCCCCAAATACCACCTAGATTAGAAAACAAAGTGTTGTCCCCTCCCCCTCCAATAATGTTACCGCCCAAAAAGCCCCCGTTACCCCCCGTCCCAAGTATAGAAGTTTTACGAATGAAAACTTCCCAGAAACTATCACCGGTTCGAAACGTGGAACGGCACGCGAGCATCGGCTCGCCGCACTTTCAAAGGAACCTCAGCACTTACAGAACCCTCGAAATGGAAAGTAGATTGACAGACGATGAATCCACGATCCGGTCAACCCAAAACTACAGCTCGTTGACACTCCAAAACCGTCACGTGCGATCCAACTCTGAAACTAAAAACACGATTCTAAAAAATAAAGAAATGACGGCGCTATCGCTTTGTTCTCCTCAAATGAATAGGCGATTCAGCAACCGACCTGACCTCCTAAACGGCGCACCGTGCAGCGATCAGCGACTGTTCAGTCCACCTCTGTCGGAACGAAAAACCTTTAGAAAAGATAGCGCCAGTCCCACCCCAAAAACCCAGAACCATGTGAGGTTTAAAGATGAAGTAACTGACGACATTCCGACCCCACCATCGCCACCGACGGTCAAGTTTCCAGACTTCAGCGGGGGCAATAACGGGCACGTGTCTATTGAAAATCTCTTGTGTAAAACGGAGGTTGCCGTAGACGGGTTGCTGCAACGGCTGCATCAGGTGGCGCAGAAGTGTTCCCACCAACACGCTCATGGCGGTGGCGAGGATATAGATGAAGTTAAGTTTCAGGTAATACATTCACTTAAACAATTTATTATTCCAAATAAAATGTAAACCATAGCTTTTTTCACGATTTATTTATTATTAAGACCGTATGAAATAGAAAATGTTTGATATTTAAAATGCAACGCTGTCATGATATGTTTTTTTATAGTTGTAACAGTCCGTCAGTTTTGTGGATACTCCGTTTTAATTTTGTGCCTGTATAAAGTGCTTATATTCAAGGCAAACAGACCACAACAAGCATAGTTTACTCGCTGTTTGTTGGAGCATATATAATAAATAAATTTCTATTAAGGTAGATCTATTTGTTTGTTCACTGGCTGAGTTCACAAGAGCTGCTTTTTATGTTATTAGTTATAAGATCTAGGTATAAATATATATTTTTGTGTAGTTTTTTCGTATTAATTGTAACTGTTAAGATAGAATAATTATGTGAAAATAAATAAATAAATAAAAATATTTTGGCAGCGTGCTCGCAGCGAGCTGACGTCGTGCGCTGTGTCTCTGGTCGGTACGTCCCGTACACTCGTAGGTGCGTTAGGTTCTGCCAGCGGACCCACTGCCGCCGCTTCCTTGGCGGACTGTTTAGCACCTCTGAGGAGATTGGCTGATCTTGCTCAGGTATGTTAACGATACACAATCATTTATCATTTTCGTAAAAATTACTCAGTGTTACTAAGTTTTTTTTTCAGTGTATGTGTTTGAAAAAGAAAATTGATTAACACAAAATGTATATTTGCAGTAACGTCAGAAACGAATATATTATAATATATATCAAACAACAAAAATTACACATTAATTTTTTACTTAACTTTACCACGGAAGAACTGTTATCTTAACTCTATGACTCACAACACAGGGGCTCCCTAGTGGGGCATAGCTTTAGATTATTTTTCTCCCAACCATGTTTTGTTATGAATAAATTATTATTATTAAATACGGAAATAAGCCCTAAATTTAGTTTTAACTGACCCGTGAGTGCCAACATTCCTCGCTACTTATATTAATTTGTTACGATATATTTTAGGCACTTGGTAGACATACATCATCACCGCTCCAGACACGTAATTTAGTTCTCCGAGTTCACGATGTGACGGCGGCCTTCAAAGACCTGGCAGGAGCTGAAATGGCACAAATAATACACGAGCACAACGCCAAAGCCTCGCAGGGTCACGGACAAGAAAACAGTTCCACCTTAGAAGGACAGTTGGCCTTACGCGCCGAATGCCTCGCTAATGTTCTGGCCACACTGCTCAGAAGCCTACGGGTATTTTCACCGTAAGTGATAGCTGTCAAACGTCATTTTGCGACTACAGATATTAATACCTTCGTGTAACATTAATTTAGACTTTTTATTACCGTTACTAAAATGAGACCAAATAATATAGGTTTATTATAATTATTGTAGGCATTATTTTCGTTAAGTTGTATTGTAAATTTTAACATGTGTTAATATTGTTTACATTAATTTGTTTGGCCTAATGGATACAGCAATACGTGTTTAAATGTTTTTAGTAAAATATATAGAGTAACGCTGTCTTCCGCGATCATCATTACGTCGATCCACCGGTATTTATCGTAGATGTGTTACCATAGTGAATTAAGACCTGTATAACATATCTAAATATAATCTATGATGTATATTTTCTAAACTTTTAGCGCCGAACGGTGACAAACTATCATTCTGACTATATCGTATTATTTGAATCCCATTTGCTTTGAAATTACATCATGCGATGTGTTTAAGTATTGGTGCTATTATAAGATTTTGTTATTGACAGTGAATTCACCGATCTTTTTTTATGGTCATCTGTCAAGTAAATTTTTTTACGCTTGCAACATTTATTTTACCACTAGTTAGCCAAAGACCTTACGAGTACCTTTATGTATTTCTTGTTCATTCCTTATTCGTTAATTATCATTAAAAGTATTATTACACTGATTACATAATATCGAATAAGAATATCGTGTTAACGATAATAGTACTAATGTATTCCTTATAAAAATGCAATAACATCAATGTTTTATATATTATATTTTGCGTTAAATATACCTAAGTATTATAGAATTAAATAGAACCTGATTTAATTAGGTTTCTTTAAGATCTATGTTTGTGTTTATTTGAAAGTTCTCTACTTTAATGCAACGCCATCTAGGGGCGAAATCTGTTTAAAATAGAATTATTTGATTATGGATTTGTATTTTTTAAATTGTATTTAACGCAAAATAAAGGTTAAATAATATAACAGTTAAGTAAAGTTTACAAGGTAACGTAATATATTACACCAATTTATTTATTGTTTAATATCATAATGCTATCTATGCATTTGATGTAATAAAAATTAATTAAAAAAGTAAGAGTTTTATTTACCTGTCTATCTGGTCCACGCTCCATTGAGAGAGTTACTTCTATAACCACAAATCGGTTGAAACATACATACATTACATATATATATATAGAAATTATATTAAAACCTTTTTAGGTTCAGTGATTAGCCTTCTGACTTCTGTCTAGTTCAGTAGATTAACCTCTAGTTTTTTAATATTGTTTAAGAGATATGGAAAATATATATTCTAAAAAAAGGATATAAATGCGAGCTTAACAATTCAACACTTTTAAATTCTATTAAAACGGTTAGGGTACAAAAAAAGTTAAATAAAAACCTACCTACAGCATATTCGCGTAATCCTTAATTAAAGTGGAATAATCAGGCAAGCGCAGTACATTGTACTCGCAATAAAAACTAAGTTTATTACGTTGCATTGCGTTTGTCATCAGGATGCGCGGGAGTGGATATTCACACGATCCTGCTCGCGGACCGGTCTTAGCGCAAATAGAAAAATAGAACTAGCTCTAATCATGAGATATGCGGTTCAGTACAACTTATGTATCTTCTGTTCTCTATTCAAAAACACAAGCGAAGATTTGTATGTAGACCTTTATCGAATTAGTCATATAAATCCAGTCGTCTGTCAGTGTCAATTTTTGAAGTTATACTTCTTTTGGCGCGTTAGGGAAAAATGATGAGAGTAAATTTTTACGATGCGTGCGCATACCGTCACAACAAACCGACACCCTGAAGTTAGCTATAGTCAACATTTTAGTTTTTTTGAAGTTATACTTCATTTGGCGCGTTAGGGAAAAATTATGAGTGTATTTTTTTTCTAATTGTTAGTGTCGTTTTTACTACAAACGTAGAATAAGGCGAAAGATAAAATTTCCTGTTAAGATTTTTATTTAGTCACACCAATGAAGTAAAACTTCTAACGTACTAAATGTACAAACACATTTTTTTTAAATAGCGAACTCAAATACTGCTGTCCGCATCTCATCTAGTAATAAGAAAGACGAAGTAAATAATTTTTAATTTATGTAAACTCTGTTGTTTATTTCATTACTTTGAAAAGGTTGAAATATCTTAGACTTTGACGCTTATGCCTATGCATTAAAATTACATCTTTACTACTTACAACACATTGTAATTTCACGTTTTACGTTCGTATTAAAATGAAGTAGGTATGTCGATTAATTAAGTGTAATGGGTGCCAATTTTTATTGTTTATATTACTCGCAGAGAACTCTAAACAAGTTGCAAGAGATCTGACTCAGTACAAGATAACTAGATGATCAGAAATAGTTCATTTATTCGGCGATAATCCACTTCAAGATATTATATGATTCAGTCATAGCCCAGAAGCATAATAGTTTATGTCTATGCCTCTAGCGACTATTAACAAAAGAGTAAATATACTTACACAGTCACATATTGGTGACAACAAATAAATATAATGTTTCACGTATATGATAAAGAAAGACGACGCTTGCTGTTTTTTTGTTGATGTCTCAAATAACATCTCAACACTTTAACCATAGGATGGCTTATTCATGCTTTTCTCGCAGCATAAGGCAAATGCGATCCCAGGAACCTTTTCATGCGATATGGAATGCACCCATAGACGTTTGAGCTTGTAAATCGTAACTATGGAGCTGATAGTTCGTTGACAAAGAATGTCGTGATCGGCAAAATAGTTTTGTCGCAGCTTATCTGGTGATATACACAATCATAATAATGTTTACAAATAAGGCGTAAAGTTTGCTGAACTCATAATATATCTTAAAACCAGTTTGCTGTCAATAACATGACACAAAGTATTCAATTATACACCATGACACCATCCATTACTAATATGGGAGCTTCGCCCGTTGCTACTACATTTGTAGATACCGTCAATAAAATACTGAAGTTTTCATGATAATAGATATAGTTTAATTTATATACGATTTTGAAACATCGTATTATCAAACACGTGTGAACGCTAGCGACTAGGTTAGTAGCTCTAGGTTGCAATCGAAATTAATAGATTACAGACTTTTTTGTTTCATCAGACTGACTTTGAAACGGCGATATTGTGAATAATTGCATATCCTTGTATACAACAAATTTACTGCAAGTTTAAGAAGATACAAACGAATTTTGTTCTAGTTATTATAGTAATTTTTTGTAATACAATTGTTGTAATTGTTACAAAAAGTGTTATAGTCATCGATACAATAAGGTGATGGCATGCCATTTCTGTGTCACTGGTCCGTCATATTTAATTCACAAATGTAGACAGAGCAATAAATGTATAGAGTATTTACATGTATATTATTTGACACTTAGATACTGAAAATCATAAAACACCGCTTATCACTAACATCGTAGGGAATGTAGGAAAAATTATAATTTTTATATATATCGTAATTTAAATTAAATCCTCATAAAGGATGGATGTTAGTAATCGGTATCGTAGAAAGTAAATCAAATTGCATTATGAAACCTAAACATTTTCAAAGCCCTTACTGATCGGCTTTCAAATTCCTCTAATAATTAATTACTCTGTACAAATTACCTTCTCATTGTGAAAAGGTCAGCGAGCGCTTTAATTAATTAAACTTTTCAAATGCCACGAATGGGACTCGAACTGCGATCGATCGATGACCTTTGATGACTAACAAAAACATCACGCTCGGTTTTTGCGGGCGTACTGTATTAGAAATGAACGTGACTGAAAAATATCGAACCATATTAAATTGTTAACGTATAGTGTCAATAATTTAATGTCAATTACAAATTAAATAATACAAATTCTAGATAAAGTGTATTATCGAAAATCCACCCATAGGTTTCAATATGTGATTATCATATATCATTCAAACCGTGGTTTAATAGGTGGCAAACGTATTAACAAAATGTAACGTCACAGGACTCCCAAAAAAGTGCAGTCATTTATTAAAAAATATTTAGACGGTTTAGCCAACATTTTGACACTCGATTTTTAGTGAGTTCGGGGAGTTACCGATGTTATATCAGTTTGTTAGGAGGATCGTATACTCTAATTACTTAAACTTCTTGTGAAATAGTTGGAGGTCGTATCTCTTGAGGAATTGGAAGACCCCCACCGAAAAAAAAAAAAAACAAAAAAAAATTTTTAACTGTATAGGGAGTCAATAATTTAATGTCAAACAAATTCTAGAAAGTGTATCGTGGTTCAGCGCTTCAAACCGTTGTCTAGTTCGGGGCAAAGGGAGTTCGTTGCTAGTTACACAACTTTAAAATTGGAGTGCGTGGAAACCCAACGGAAGGCTGTGGAACGGAGATGACTTCCAGGCATCAGGGTGATATTTATGAAATTTTGAATTGATACGTCTCGTACAGTGTTGAAACGAGACAGGAGGGATCAAAACAAACAATTCTTCTGAACACTCACCGTAGTACACTTTATAGAAAACGCAAAGAGACGCAATGTCTCTCTGCGTTGAGCGAGAGAGAATCAGCCCATCAGTAGTACATAGGAGATTGACATTTTGTCAAGCCCTTCGCTGAATTTGGTCAAATGGAAGAAGCTGGTATTTGGGGGCACCAGCCCAGAGATGTGAGCAGTATTCCATATGAGGTAGTACGTAGGTACTTGAGCCTCGTGCATACGCATACTGGCTGGATTAATATCTACGATCTAAAGGCAGCTCTATAATTATACCAGTTTTATATTAGAAAAAGTTTAAATCTGGTAAAAAAAATCTTAAATTTTACCCCTATAAATAAAAGAGTAACTTCGGGTTTGTTGGTAAATCTGATGGCAAAAACCCAATATTTTAAAATTGTCCTAATACATTCTTCGTCCCTCGCTCAGTTTGATGTTTGAATCAAACTATAATCTCTAAGAACTATCTGTTCAAATAGATAGCTATTTAACCTATTTGCTGCCTTAAAAAAGTTCCGCAAGCATTTAGGCCGACTG